CTCCAAACACAAACCAAATAAAAGAAGAGAAGAAACAGAGCCAGAAGGGACCAAGAACAGAACAAAGGACAAAAGAACAAGAACTCAGCAAAAACGTGGAAGGGTAGAATATATACATGTGTATGCACCTACACAAATTAGAATGTTCTAGAACAGTAAGAAATAGCACATGGTATAAGTAATTACATTTACATAAAATACATTATTAATAAAGAAATCATATCTGTTAGCTTTGAGTTCACCACAGGAGGTCCTGATAATAATAGCCTAAAGTGAACAAGCCTGTATTCATGAGTGTACATGTACAAACTAACCTGTGAATAATTCTCTGTTTATGTTTTAGCTGCTAATGAGAATACATGTACATGTACATGTACATGTAAGTTGTTTTGATAACACCTTGTCACAATCATAATTGAATCCCATTTCAATACAGCATAATGACTTGTATAATTAATATGTGTACAGTCAATAGTTCAGTATTATGTAGAGCTTTTATATTAATGATACATGTACATCATTCTACATGCATTCTTCAATCATTCAATGATTTATTTATTAAGTTAATGAATGTAGAACATTTTATGGTTCATGTTGTGTTTGTGACCACTCACCTGACTTGAGTTACAGTGTCTTGTCCCATTAATACATGTATTATACTGAAGTGCATGTATAACTACAATGTACATGTAGTAGAGCCTTTAGGGCAAGTATAGCAACAACCCATTACACATGATTGATGTGTTATTTATTCAAATTGCTTAATATTATTTTACAATATCCATCAATATTGTGTATTCAGGTACACTAGTCCTTAATTTAACCAAATATATTAGTGTATAGTATGTATGTATACATGTACATGTATTATGTGTCAGTTACTATTATTATTAAATGTTCCTTCAATTTAATCAAAAGCATGAGCAGTTTGACCTTTGACTCATGTTTGATGCTAGACTAGAACAAAATTCAACTTGAGGGTTAGCATAACTTGAGGACTAGCAGAAATATTGTGAATCAGTCACCTTATAGCAAGGAAACATTATACAGTGTACATACATGTACATGTACATGTACATGTACATGTAATGTACATGTACATGTACATGTAATATACATGTACATGTACATGTTAATTGTAGCAGTAGCTTAATTGTTTTACACTGTCTGTCAATATTGATACACTATCCTTTGTATTGTACTGGTACTTATACATGTACATGTACCTGCTCATTAGTAATTGGGCTAGCAAAGCACCACTCTATATGTATTGCATCTCCGGTCATGCCCATCTTCTGGCCACGCCCCATGTGTGTACTACTGGGTATTTATCTAATGTGGTAACAGTACTATTGTAAAAACACATGTCCATTAATACATGCATTAAACTACAGCTAATATAACTGGAAGAATATTATAAAAACATTTAAAGGATGCATGAGCAGTACATGATGATATCACAATGTTTGCTTAATTACTGTTTATACTGTGTGAAAACTGTGAAACATACATGTATACTAACTACTGTATAATTGTTTTGATCCATCATGTATAGTATACATGTACATGTACATTGTCAATATACTTATTGTGCACTGTGTCTGATGTTAATACTGTATAGCAGGAAATTTTGTTGCCAGAAACTTCGTTGTCTTTTCAAGCAGGCTTTACAAGATATTTTTGTTGATTTTATTTTCATTTTGCCTAACATAAATTTTCACTGTCACGCTCACTTAATTAGTGACATGTGTATGGTTTAAGATGGAAGAATGTCCATGGTTTGTGGTTACCACATTATAAAGACATTTGGAGCCCATCAGTTGAAGAAGAGTTGCCTTTCTGTGTCAAGCCTGATAATGCCACAGATTGCTAAGCCATGGCTATAGTGAAAAGAGAATCTGTTGTGGGTCGAAAACTTTAGTTACATGTAGATTAAATTTTCATTGTCTAAAAGATTTATTCAAAATTTTGGCCAACGGAACAAATGAAAATTAGCACCCAATGAAAATATTTTGCTATACGGTATTGCTGTTCTTATTATTACTATTACTATCATTACTGTATTGATGTTTAATACAATTTTGTACAATAAGACCAACAAGGTATTAATGTGTGGTATATATCATTTGTAGAAGTTTATCGTAATAAACTACTCAAAGCTCTCAAGGAAGGACGTGTTACAGTCAAATACTCTAAGTTTTCTTTATCCGGTCCACCTGGTAGTGGAAAGTCATCTGTCTTGAAACTCTTAAATGATGAGGATCCTGTCCTGACCCATGACAGCACTCCTG